CCTGCCCGAGTTGAAATCCTTGTTCCTCTCTGCGGCGGCGGCGCGACACCGAGTGAAGTGGAATGGAGTGAGTGCGGGGAGCCGGGCCGAGGGCGTTGCAGACCGTATGGGAATAACAAGGGAGAATAAGGGGCTATCGCCCCCCTCCCACCAAATTCACCTTCCAAGAGTGTCTCAAAATTTTCAGAGACCATAAAACCAGTTCTTTTCCCGAATATCCCACTGTACATGCGTCCAGCCCTGGCGGGTGTCGCCACCACCGCCAACGCTTGCGTCTAGTTTAGGGGGTGCTAGGGGACCTGAGACACACAGTAATGTAAACCCATGTAAAGTGTATGACAGCTCAGGACCCCCTAGCACCCTCTAACTAAACGCAAGCAACCTGTGGCGCCTGGTGCCCGCCGCGGCTCGGGGGGCGACCGGACGCCCTTTCGCACCCTATCAACCGGTGCGGCGGTGCGGCCCAAAAGGGCAAGTCTTCGGTAACGAGCCTAAGGAGGTCGTCGGGCCGAGTCGTGTCGCCGCCGGGGCAGCACCGGGGCAGCGCCGGGGACGGAGCAACAACTTGCTCGTGTTCGCTCTTCTGCTCGCGCTCGCTCGTCCCATCTTTTCGGCTCATTCAAGAGCACACAGGGAAAAAGCAGAGGGAGGGAAAGAGAGACAGAGAGACTTCAATGTGATGAGAAGAGGAAAGGAAGGGCAATGAGAAAGGAGGGGAAGATGGAGAGGGAGGGGGTGCGGAGACGACAGCCAGGAGCCGCCCGCCTGTTTCCGCCAACGCAGCAGCCGAGCCGTCCCGCAGCAACGCGACGACCGCAACGCCAAGCCATACAGCCCGAGAGTTCAGAAACCGAAAGTATTTGCCCTTGTCCCGTCCACCCGTCGCGTCCTGCCCCGCCCCGCCCCGCCCCCAGCCACATGGGGCAGAGCTTACCTTGCCGTTCTCCGCGTGGGACGGGTCGGGGGCGCGCACACAGCGGAGCTCCCCCCTCCCTCTTTACCCAAACCCCCGCGGCCCCCGCCCGTCGCAGTTTTGGCCGCTTGCCCAGAGTCCCGGTATGGTCCCGGTCCGTCCGGGCGGTCACAGCGTCACAACGCACGATCCCGACCCCACTGCCGCGCGATACTCACCCCGACCATCATACTATTACTAATTTCTCACGATAATTATATTAACTACAATGCCGCCACCGTTCGGCACAGAGGTGCATACCGCGCCCGCCGCCTACTTTGCGCGACCGTGTGTCGCCGCTGCCTACATAATGGCTTTCCGAAGGCGTCGCCCTGCCGCCAAGTCGGCGCGGCCGCCACGCCCCGCCACTCCTCACGCCTTTAATATATTTCTTCTTCCTTCCTTGCCTTCCATTTTTTCCTGCGCCGTGTATGCTCTTGCCGCGGCAGCATGAGTGTCGAAAATGCGACGTGGGGCGCCCCCTGACTCTACCCCCCCCCCCCTTTTTCCACACACGCGCACACACACACGCCTCCGTCGCTCGCAATCAGCCATGTAAATGCCGCACGGGCACGCAATGTGGACATCTTCATCACGACAGGCAATTTCTTTTTCACATAGCCGCGCGCGCGCGCACGCAGCCCCCCCCCCCTCTCTCTCTCTATCGGTCTGGCGGGTATAGGCAAAGAGCTGTCAAAAGAACACAAACCTGAACGCATCGCACACAAAATATGTCTACGAGTCGTACGCGAGTTCTACACAGTACGCGCCTGAAAACCGGCCAAATACACGACTGAACAGACGAGAAGGGCGAGGAGAAGGGTGTGCTACCACAGCAAAAGCCAGCCAACTACCCTAGGGATATTGGTAACATGCCCCCTCCCCCCACCCGGGCCCCTGGAGAGTAGGCAACAGTCTCGGCCTTGCCCGTCGGCCGCCCCGCAACGCCCCACCCAGTCGCGGGCTGGCCTTTCCCTCCGCCTCTCTAATTTATGCATCTCTTTATTGTTTTTGTCTTCTGCCTCGCCCTGGGAGGAAAAACAGCGGGAGCAGCTCGCTCGCGTTTTCTGTTGTTATGCATATACATAAATATATCGCTACTTCGCCAAGTGCGTAACCAAACGCGCTGCGCACGCCAACAGCGTCGCTAAGTGAAGTCAGTGCCCCGCGGGGACGCACCGTGACCAGGCCGCTCACCCGGCGGCGGCTCGACGGAACGGAGGAGGGAGGTGAGCTGTCAAAAAATACCTCTGCTCCCCCCCCCCCCATGGCTGCCTACAGGACTTTTAGGGCTCGGCTGTCAACGTAACTTCTTCACACAGGCCCCTTCTGTCTTCAACTTCAACTTCAGAAAGGGTTATAACGACTGTTTGTTCATAGCGAACTGGAGCCACCAATAACTTGGGTCACGCAGTCAGGCCTCGGTCGGCCCATCCCCTGCGTTCCAGCTAGTGCTGGTCCGGCGGCAACAGTGTAAACCCTCAAACTAACACACGCTTGGGCAGCTGGAAAGTTTAAAAGTTCTCCAGTTTGAGGACAGTTTAAAAGTACACTTCTATGAAATTTCTTTTTGCAGATAAAGTACACATCGCACGGCAAAGGCGGGTGCTTGGTTTCCAAGCTTGTTTTTCTCACGTCAGATCCATTTAGCTAATTAGGCAAATTACAGGAGCTTCGGCGCCTGCGAACCTCAGGGTAGGCCATCCCGCAGTACACGCATGCACTGCAGGCAAGAATTTGCCCACCTACCACGCGCTATGAGAGGTTGCAGAGGCTGAACTTTTAGAGATCTGCAAATAACGACCTTGTTCGTACTGTAATTATCTACCTCTGTACGCCCCGCGAGGAGGCCGCCAGTCAGGGGTCAGCGGAACCCCCCAACCGGCCGGATCAAGTCCTGTCGCCCTACACAGCACTCGGAATGGGAAAGGACAATTTTTTTTTACCCAGCAAGGATGCGTTCTTATCTCAAATAGATGTTGCTAGAGGACACGTCACTATAACGTCACGCACTAACAATAACACTATTCGAATCAGCCTACCTCTTCATCCGCGTTCAGCCCTAATAAATAAATATGTAAAAGTCAACATATTTGACCTCAATAAAACCATTTAAAACCTGAACTGAATTGTTGTGAAGGGACTTTTTTTCGTGAAGAGGCATAGGCGGATGTTCCGCTCCACGTTGCGACAGAGGGGGCCCGCCCCGCCGTGCACGCTATCAGCGATAACTGTCACACCTCTACAAGCACTCCTCATAACAAAACAGTAAACCGTCGTCATAAGTGGTAGTGGTACGGTAAAAAGTGTCCGAAAAGGATTTTTTTTTCTTGGGCGGTCTAGAGGGTCAACCGATTTGTCGGTCAGCCTAGACCTCGGCCGCCAACTGTGAAAAATATAGTTGGACGCATTTTACGGGAAAATTTAACCCTCTTTCCAACTTGCACCGCGACTGGCCGCGCGACACGCGGTGGTCGGTGCAGTTTCCCTCCGGCCTGGCCGGGCCTGGCGCTCCACCATGGAATGTCTCCCCTGGGCTGCCAGGGGGCTGCCGCCACGCCACGCCACGCCACACCACACCGCGCCTCTCGCTCGCGGGTAGGAAGGTGCCATTACGTGCCTCTCAGCGCTCAATAATTCCACCCGAGTCCGACCTCTGTCGCGTCTCGCGTACAGACGGACGGACGGACGGACAGACGGACACACGCGTGCCTCCCACTACTCCCACGTCGCGCGCACGCATATGCTACGTGCCATGGCGTCGCATTGGGGGCGGGTGGAGACTGATTAGAAAATAAGGGTGCGCGGTGCGCGTGCAGGGGTGCAGCTGAGGGG